CCAGTTAGTCCGGACTTCGGTCCGATGCAGTGGGCAAGGCCCAATATGTGCTTTATATGTTATTGTATGGTATGTGGTAGTTTGGGGGAGCTCACTAAGCTTCGTGCTTACAGTTTTCAGTTTTGGTTTCAGGTACTTCCGGTAGCGGAGGGAAGAGCTCGGGATGATCGCATGGCACACACCATAGTTAGTCAGCCTGGGATGTTTTACTCTGATGATAAGAATATGTTTTTTATTAACACTCTGATTCTATGCTATAATTCATGTTATGGATTGACAATCGTGGTTTAAGTAATGTTTTTCAAACGAAATTTTTAGTCATGATTTTTGGGTCGTTACAATTTGGGTTATTGTCGATAGATTAACCAAATCCGCACACTTCCTGCCAATGAAAGAAACAGATAAAATGGAGAAGTTAACAAGGACGTATATTAAAGAAATAGTACGATTGCATGGTGTGCCAATATCTATTTTCTCTGACCGAGATAGTAGTTTTACCTCGCAGTTTTGGCAATCATTGCAAAAGTCCTTGGGAATGAATCTTGACATGAGTACAGCGTACCATCCTCAAACTGATGGACAAAGCGAGAGAACAATTCAAACACTGGAAGACATGTTAAGAGCCTGTGTGATAGATTTTGGTAAAGCTTGGGATACCCATTTACCACTTGTTGAATTCTCCTACAACAACAGCTGCCACACTAGCATCAAAGTTGCACCCTTTGAGGCTCTCTATGGCCGTAAGTGCAGATCCCATCTGTGTTGGGCTGAAGTGGGCAATACGCAACTAGCAAAGAACCAAGTACCTGATAGTACTCTAACTGGTCCCGAGATCATTCGTGAAACCACAGAAAAGATTGTTCAAATCCAAGAACGGTTGAAAGCTTCTCGAGATACACAGAAGAGTTATGCGGATAAACGACGAAAACCCTTGGAATTTCAGGTTGGTGACCGTGTTCTGTTGAAGGTCTCACCCTGGAAAGGAATGATACGTTTTGGTAAACGTGGCAAACTAAATCCAAGGTACATTGGACCATTCCAGATCATTGCTAGAATTGGTCCTGTTGCTTACAAACTCAATCTACCGCATGACTCGATAACATTCATCCCGTTTTTCATGTCTCAAATCTCAAGAAGTGTTTGTCCGACGAGACTCTTGTTATCCCACTCGATGAAATCGAGATAAACGAGAGCCTCAATTTCGTAGAACAACCAGTAGAAATCCTAGATAGGGAAGTCAAGAGAACTAAGCAAAGCCGTATCCCAATAGTGAAGGTTCGTTGGAATGCAAAACGAGGACCTGAATTCACTTGGGAGCGAGAAGATTAGATGAAACAGAAGTATCCACATCTCTTTCCCTAGTCTTAGTGTATCTGTATAATTTTACATTTCGGGATGAAATTTCTTCTAACGGGGGGATAATGTAACATCTCGTTATTTTCATTATTATAAAAGTCAATACAAGTCAACTCCGTCAAATAAAAGCCCAACTTAGTGATTTATTATTTTAATAAAGTTAAAATAATTATATATGATACACTTAAACACTTAATAAAAGTGTTGTAAAAATTAAAAAGTAAAAACATCAAACATCGAATACCATAGTAGTCGTAAACCGTCTCTTCTCCTTCTTTCATTTCTTTGCTTCGGGCCGCAAACCTCTCCTGAATCGCAAACCTCGCATGGACCGTGAACCCTCCTCGGCCGTGAACTTGCCTCAGACCATGAACCCGAAGATCTTATCTCCTCGGGATGTGTTTACGACCGTACACTCTTATGTATATATACAAGATTGACTGATTTTTCCTTCATTCTACACGCTACAGCTGAAAACTCTCTCATTCTCTCTCAAGTATCAAAGGCCGAAAACCTCCTCTCTCCTCAAAAACATGCAAAATTCTCTTAGAATCTTGTAAGAAGCACACCTTGATCTTGTAATCAGCCTACCAACACTTCCAATCTTCCTACCTTTGGGCCGTAAACTCAAGAACACCAAGTATTCTTGGGCCGTGAACACCCAGGCTGGCCGTGAACAGCTTGCAGCCTTCCATCTTTGCTTCTAACACTCTTATTTGTAAGTTAAACTTGCAAATTAGTTCGATTCCTTATCATATTTGTAAATATATTCACTAAAAATATACATATATTACATGAAATGCTTATAGGACTCAGGATATAACTCGTGGAAATAACTTCCTATATTGAACCTCCAATCGAATCACTCACAAAAGGTGAGTTCATACCCCTACATTTTTATGATTTTTAACTGTTTTAGGGGGGGGGGGGGGAATACAAGTGAAACACAATGAAAATTGTGTTAATATCTAAAATGTTTTTAAATGTTTTTAAAGTTTTTAAATTGTTATAATTATCAAAAATTACATTTTTATATATGTGTAAATTATATATTTGGATTCAAAAGATTTAAAATATATAATTTGACCTCATTTCCTGTTCCTTGTTTGGTTGTGGGCTTGGGGTAAAATTATTTAATCGAAGGTCTAATTAATCACAATTATATAAATATTACATTTATATAAATATAAAAGGGTTTTCAAACTGTTTAGTACTATTTGGTATGAACAGTGAACTTCATGGAATAACTGTATTACCGATTCTTACCAACAGTTAAACTATAATAGGTATAGTTAGAGAACTCATTCATTGATTTCAAATTTCAAAGCACATAACAGAAAACAAATAGAGTACTTAACGGAAAACGAATAGAAAACATTCTTCAGAAAACAAATCAGAAAACAACCATATAAACTATATCTTATATAGTTTATGAAATTGACCTGCTAAGTATTTATTACAAAGTAACTTGTCAATATTCTATACATAATCATCAATATAGCATTTGTGAGACAACCTTCATGTACTTTTATAAGTGCCCCCAAGTCTTGAAATTATAACCAGAGTCTCCTGGAGGGAGAGCGCGATACTTGTATATAGATCTATATGGGACTGACAATCCCACACCTGAACTGTTAGTTACAGTTAGGCATGCATGCCTGGGGTGACAAATGTCCTACCAATTGCGACGCCTGAAGAACGTCGTGTTCAGGCGATCATAGGTCATCTAGTATGGTTATAATAACTCACACTTTGATATTAAATAAAATGATTAGTGTATGAATAAGTAAAACTTCACATAGTTTTATCTTTATAAAGCTATAAAACGGTATTTTACAAGTATAAATACGAAATACTATTTTCGTATAGGAAAACGCCTTTTTTTTTGTTTTATGTAAACTAAACTACATTTTTACCACTTAAGAACGCAGAAACTTTCACTCTTTTGTTTACTGTATAATACAACAGAAAATATAGGATTTTCTGGAAAAAAACGTGTTTACTTTATCAAAGAATGAGAAAACGGATTTGAGTTATAAACATGCTTATGAACTCACCAACTTAATTGTTGACACTTTTTCAAAACTACTTGTATTCTCAGGGAAACAGTAATACAGGTACAACCACAACTTTTGAGAAGACAGAGCTATATAAACTCATGTCATTAAAACTTGTACTTTTGGTGTCATGTACATTATGTTTTGAATACAGATGTAAAACTTATAACTTTGTAAATACAATGGTTGTTGTTGTACTTTGATTACTATTATGCATTGTTGTGATACTGAACATGACGTCCTCCGCCCCCGAACATTTCTGCCGTTCCAGTTTGGGGGTGTGACAAATTGAAAAAAATACTCCAATTGAGACGACAAAAGATAACTTCGAATATTGATGATATGTAATTTGACGAGATATTGGTAATAACATACAGATCAGGATCAAAATTCGAAATCAAGCATGAAAACTTACAATTTAAGCAAGATCTAGGAAGATACATTTCCTTCAACGTTTTTAAAACAAAATTAAAATGTTAAACAACAATACGATGATCTATTAATCATAAATACCTTTTATGCTTCTTGTTGAGGGGATCATTTGGGTCATCATCAAAATTCTCCTTTTCTTGTTTATGATCAACGATAGCTTCGTTGTTTGATCCTCAACTGAATTATCTCCATCAAAAATATCGACAGATAAAGGAGACTGGTTGTTCACATGATTTTTTGATTAAATTGGAAGGTCAGGGGAGGGATAGGAGAAACTCTCATGAAACTAATCTGATAGAAAGTCCTATTTGTTTAAAAAAAAACTTATGCATTTCATTGGTGCACAATTTGTTGGTTCAACTCTAGAATATCGTTGGTTCGCTCCCTTTTAAGTAGTTCGTTGTTGAACATATATATATATATATATATATATATATATATATATATATATATATATATATATATATATATATATATATACCAATTTATCAAAGTCTATAAAACTAAATATATTGTGATGTCTGGTACATATAACAAAATTATAACCGTGAACTAATGGCTAGGCACTGAAACAAAAACATCAAACAATTATATGATAAGACTAAAATTTGTATTTATGTTGATTAGGGTTTTATGTAAAGGAAGCAACCCTTTTAAAATCTGAAAACATGTTTCCCACAGTCATCGCCGACAGCTTATGGGCTAACCAAATTCCACGTGACACACATATGCTTATGAGTCGATACTATAGACCTCCTCACCTTTTTTGCTTTTTGTTTATTTATAACTTTCACAAAATTAAACAACGACTTTTAGTAAAAGTTTTGTCTTTTCAAAAAATTAAAACACTTCAGAAATTTACCATATAACAAAGATACCTTATTATATAAGATGATATTAATTGATTAGATAATGTTTACCAAAAGTCCTGGTGGGGTTAGACGTGATCCCTACATGGTTCCATCCCTGTTCACTCACTGCCGAGACATTATCGGGCAGGGCTGTTTTCTTTTTATAAGTGTCTACACATCTACCACCTCAATTCATCCTTAATTCCCACCATATATATATATATATATATATATATATATATATATATATATATATATATATATATATATATATATATATACCCCTTAGCAACCTCCAAATATATGCATTCTTTTCTAACCCACTCTTGTTCTACTCAACTACTTCATTTAGGTTCTATTCCCTCATCATAATGTCGAGCAGACGATCCGCAGGAACTCCAAGGATCACAGACGATCAGATCATAGAACTCATCTCCAAACTGCAACAACTTCTTCCTGAGCTTCGAAATCGTCGTTCCAACAAGGTAACTCACACAGTACAACATTTTCTTTGAACAGCTAACTCACACACTCTCTACTTTATTCATAATTCTACACTTTTCATCCTAATTAAGCGGGATCTGAACCCTCAACTACTGGCTGAGGGACACCTTTCCATAAACTCATGATATTGTGTGGCCAAAGGCCTTTCTATTTGTACAACAATATATAAAATATAGAAATGATGACAAAAGTTTTATCTGTGGGGTCTTTTCTGGTTCTTTATATTTGTGTTGATTGGTATATTTGGTTCTCGTGTAGGCATCGGCTTCAAAGGTGTTACAAGAGACGTGTAACTACGTGAGAAGCTTGCATAAGGAGGTTGATGACCTTAGTGATCGTCTATCACAGTTATTGTCCACCATTGATGACAGCAGTCCTCAAGCTTCCATCATTAGAAGTTTAATTAATTAACTAATTAAGTATAAGTATATAGATAAGTACTTCAATTATTTCTTAAATATTAGTCATATGGATATTCCCTGTTTGACTGTTTCCAATCCATATCTTTGTATTTGATCCATCAAATTATAGTTTGTGATGATAATATATATTTGTTTCTATGTGCATCCGTGTTAATTTCTCTTTATATTCATGTTGATTTTATGTGCAGATTCTTTTCATTTTTGTGTATTTGAAGAATTTATAATCCGAAAGCATTTCTATGAGAGAAACAACTCGAAGAATTCAAAAACTAAACGCAAGTAACTTTGCATATTATCATGCATGGCCATAAACGATCGACACAATTAGTTTTAATTTTCTAAAATACATCATGCATGGCTTAAAATCTTGACACGGGGTTTAATTTGAGAACCTTTGGAGCATAAACAGTCCATGCAAATTGAAAGCGCTTCCAATCAATTTCTCGTATTTTACGTTGTCATATAATTAAGGTGATCAAAATTTGCATTAATTAACGAGTAACAGAGTTTCCTTTTTTATGGTTTAGATATTTTTTCTATTTTAAAAGAAAAGTTCTCAAACATATGATTAATAATCAAATAATTTTATACTATATAATTTATATTGTTTGTGTGTGAAATTAATAAAATGGGGCCAAAGGAAGCAATATGCATAAAGGAATGGGACCAAGGATTTTGCTGCACAATCAGATGTCACAATCCAATATCAACATTGTAGATATTAGAGATGAGGTGGTCATTCAATTCTCTCAAGGACACTGTACCCATGAGAGTTATGTATGTCAATTCCTCCCTTTTCCACCACACAATTCCAAAGTTTTATGTTATTTCAGTTATAAATTGTACATAATTTAATATTATAATTGATAAAAATAAATTTTACTACAAATATGTAACCAAAAATGTGTCGACAGTTCAAAAGTATGCACGTCCCATACTTTGACGATACATAGATATTATTTCATGACACTGTACATCAAATGTGAAAAAACGATATCAATTAGTGTGGCACATGAAAAAAAACAAAATTTTGATTATGACATATTAAGCCATGAAGTCCATGTATCATTTAGCTTAGTGGTAGAAGATCTACATAAGAGTTGTATGTTCAAGTTTAGTATCATTTTTACTTTTAATAATATTATGTACAGTTGTCACAGTGGCTTACTAGTAAATATATGCATGGGATTTAAACACCTCAAAATAGAATGAAGCTTAAGTTCAACTTTTACAAACTTTCATCATAAGATGACCTGAGTTCAAGAAAAACAACACTTTTTGAAAATACCCACTATAATTATTAATTAGAATTTAGTGGTGGAGGTTGAAACTAGTTGATGAAGACATAATGTTTACCAGATGAGCCCATAAACAAACAAAAAAAATGATATTTGGCTAAAAGGCCTATAAGGAATGTAGGCTCATAGGAATTTGAAGTGGTCCAAGGTCCATTGAGGCATTGACCAAGTATCAATATGAGCTCCATAAAGGAATATGGAATCAAGGAATGATATGAGACCAAACGAACACATGAGAGCGTAGTCTATAGGTGCACTAAAATGGTCATGGACCAGTTCGTTAACGGTCTGGGTTTATCTGGAACCGGTTTTTGTTTGCACCGGTCATGGTTACTAATTTTCAGTCTGAATTTTTTTGGACTGATTTCGTGGTCTTGTTGTTTGCTTCTTCTTCTTTTTTTGGCTCGAATCATGTCTTTTTGGTTCAGTTTTGGTTTTTTTCGGCTTGTGCTCGGTTATATACATCACACGCCTATTAGATCATATAAAAGATCCTATAATTGAAAGACATTTTAAACTCATCGTCTACAATATATTTGTTATTACGAGATCTAATTATCAATTGTATAAAATATAATGTCCATATTATGTTGGGTATATTAATATTAATTAATAATAATCTATAATATCAGTAGTATAATTTCTATGTTGACAATATATCGCATTGTATCTTATTTATTTGTATATATTGTCAAAACTATAACGGACGCTATTCAAACTTTGTGGGTATGTGTTCATGGTCAAGCGTTTTTAGGTTGTGTACTTGTGTTTGGTGGGCAAATCTATTATGGGACACAACATAAGTAAATTTTACATGGTCTTTGGTATATCTAGAACACGAAAAAAAAATAACCAAGTCTAATGGGACAACTTGTTAAAAAGATAGTGTCGCCCAAATAGATGGAATTTAATGAAAATAGCCATCGGAACAACTCTAGATGTATCTCGTTGTGTCTGCCGACCCCTATTGCCTCTTTCTTCTTCAAATCATCGCCGTCTTCTTCACATAATCATTTCAACCCGTCAAATATAACACAAATCCCCATGCTTGATTCTTTATTTAGAGCCTCTCGATTTATCAGCCATCCAAGGATACGTTTCACAGCTTTCTCCAAAGTACGATTTTTGTTTAAAACTTAGAATCTGCTTAAACAATTATGATGTGAAACATCTGCTTATAATATGTTAATTATTTGTTAGTGGATTCGATAGTATGATGGTAATTGTCAATGCCAACAAATAAATACCCTAAATCTTATACAATAAAATAGCATATAATGTAAAATGATCAATCCACGATTTTTGGTTTAATTTATAACTCTATAAAAATCTCTTTTCGAAAATACTTAAATAACGACAATAAAAATAAAATGGGGATTTCAATTTTTTGGTTGTTTAAAAATCTAAGTTATACTAGAACTTGGAAACTACAATTAAATAAGAAAAGGGATTGATTTAAATCAATAAGAGGGAAATGGTTGACATTGGACTTCACTACATTGATATCAAGTTAATTTATCATTAGATGTTATGGTGCAATACTTGTGACTTAATCTAACTTAGCCATAGTGACTTAAAACTTTAAGTCACCTTGACCCATCTTAATGGTTAGAGAAGCTCATATTGTAATGTCCCAAAAATCAAGGTAAGATTTTCATTTTTTAAAACCAAACCACAAACCATAAATGTTTACAAAACTTATGTTAGAACAAAGTTCTAGTAGGATCGATTGATTCTAAGCAGAAAAGCAATAAATAAAGTAATAAAGAACACAGGAATGGTTTAACTGATGTCGAATGATTAAGCTTTAACACCTCAGAAGAGCTCGATTAAAAACTTCGACTGTAGAGGTGTTTAGGGTTACAAAGCAATAATAATTATAATGACGATCGTATCTAAGGCATACATGCATGCACTATATATTGCTTAACCCTAATCAATTATCACGGATGGATAGGCCCAATCTGGATATACAAAAACACAGCCCATGACGCAACACAAAATACCTAACAATCTGCCCCTTTGCGTCAATGGAGCTGAGAGCTCAGTTTGGTTGAGCTATAGAAGACTTCTTGATGGTCTTGAACACCTTCGGTATAATGGCCAGTAGAGTATGACGAAACGTAATATACCACCGAAGCATGTCAGTGAAGTTCTTCTTGTCTGACTCATTGTTGTGCTTGCACCGATGGATAATATTGATTATGTGCTCCAAGCAGTCCGTTGAGAACAGATGCTTATCAACAAGAGCGAAAAGAAATCTGTTAGCTTCGCCTCTTGTGAACATCACTGTGAGATGTGTAGAATCAATTTGACCCAACTTCATCTTGTTCACATCTCCAGGCTTTACAGTTGGCTTCACAGTTGGTTTCTTCTTCAAAACACTAGCAATCTCCTGATCCATTGTAGCAACTTCATGGGCATAGGAAGCCAACATCCTCTTCAGATGATCTAGGATCGGCTCATACTCCTTCGTATTAGTGAGCAAAATGTTGTACAATAAGATCTAATCATGAGGATTTAAGTTAGGAAGATCTGCCAGAGAAATTATAGAAACCGAGTTGTCTGAACCTCGGGTTATCTTGAAATTAACATTAATAAATTTCCCTACAGGAGAAGGTTTCAGCACCTTGACTGTTGTAATCTTCTGTGCACTCCAAGTCAGATACTGCGGCTGACCGAACTTAAGATAAAAATCAATAAGTTCACGATCAACTTGAGGATGAGGTGAGGGAACTTGAACTATTGAATCAAAACAGTGAAAAGTAAATGTCTTTCGTGTTATAGGCATATCAAACTGTGAGTCCTTCGTATTCTCACAATCAAACGAAGCTACATGTTCCAGCCAGAACGTGCTTGGAAACTATATCGCTTCTTTGATCACAGTTTCCCTAGTCCAAGGAGGAAACAAAGCCTTTTTGCAAATTAGAGCAGCATGCTCTTCCTTCTTCTTTCGCTCTCTCTCTTCTTCTTGTTTTGCAACCCGAAGGTTTTCATCTAACTCCTGATCCCTTTTCTTCCGTTTCAGGGCATCAGCAATAGTTTCTTGATATTCATCACTATCATCAGCAAGACCTTTCTTCTTTTCTTGATTACCAGAACCCGAAGCTTTATCCTTCGGTTCTGTTTTGACAGTGACCTTCGGTTTAATAGGAGTAGTTTTCTGAGCACCTTCTCCCCCTTGTTTTGGAGTAACCAACCGCTCTGAAACACCCTTCATTTCACGTAGAAGTTCAATTGCAGGAAGAAGCTTGGAGGTCAGGTGATTCCGGATTGTCAGTGTAAGAATTGGATCATGAGCATGAAGAACATTGTGCAGCATATTAAGAATGTCACCAGCACAGCTTCGAAAAACGGCACGATCAGTTTTCAACAAAGAAATTTCTCGATCGGCTTGAGCCAGTTGAACCTTCTGGACTTCAACGTTAGTGGTTTGACGAGCAATATCTTCCATCAATTTGTTCTCCTTTGCTAAATCAGCATGAAGCTTTTCAAGACGAGAATCCACTAAGCTAAGAAGAGAAGTGTTCTTAGCTTGAATTGCAGAACGAATAGTCTCGAATTTGGCTTGCTCCCCTTGAAGTGACTTTGAGAGAGAGTCAACCGATGCATTCACCTTAGCTGCATTCGCATCAGCATGGCCCTTAAGAGATTCAAGAAAGATCTGGGAATTGTGAATGAGTTCCGCAACATCGGGTGTAGCCTTCCGGCATGAAGAAGAAGATGCTTCAACCGCCTTCGTTGATTTATCAATTGCTCCTGTATACTGTTCAAAAGCAGTGTCCAGGAAAGCCTTCA